AGCACCAAACTTTCCAGCCAAATTTCACTGAAATGTCAAATAAACACACACACGATCCAACACACGACCTTCTTAGCAGAGACAACAATCGTTTCCCACTTTCAGCACAATCAATTCAATTCCTGAACCGGGTTTGGCAGAAAAGGTGCATGGGAGGGATGGAGGAAAATAAGCACAGAGGAAATCTGTCAATCCAGATGCCTCATGTTGGCTACACAGCTACTGTCTGGGCTTCTATAGATAGATATGCAAGCTGGCTCACAGGATCAGTGAGTCAAAGGGACTCTGAGTCAAAGTTAAGATTGCAACAGCAGCCTCCCCCAGGTGCACACACAGATACTGATGATGACGGGCTACACTTCACAAGGATGCCGCAGCCTGTCAGATCCACACTACTGCTTTTGTTTACGCATTTCCAAGTGGACTCCGCCGTCACTTTTGGGTGTCCTTGAGAGAAGGTAGGTTAGTGCTGAGTAGAGCGATGAGCTGGGAGATGGAGCCTTTAATTAGCTCCCAGGCAGGATGATAATTGATCACCTCGCTCGGCTTACTCTACCATGAAGGTCTTAGCATCATTAAAAACAAAACACATCACAATGACTTCAAACCGGAAAACTACAACAATGTGCAGAGAAACAAAGCTCCATATGATGACAGCAACTCCAAACAAAGATGAATATCCTCTAATTCAATTAAACATCTCAAGCTATGAGTGACAAAATGACAAAGAAATGGAGCAGTGTGAGAACATTCAAAAAATGTAGGCAAGACATAATTTGCAGAACACATCAGGATTATATCATTGCATAGATACACTTCTTTATCTTTGTTTTATTCCCTGTGGTGAGTGGTGAAGCCTGGTGAATGGAAATAGACTTGAGGAAATTCACTTAATGCTTCTATTGGCATTTCAGGCATTAGCTAAGCTGTGATATAATTAGCATTCATGAGTCAAGTAATTAAAACATCAATGTAACCAAGCACTGCTGTTAAGACACTTGACTCTTTCATTCTCCAGCAGGCAGTATTTAGTCTGTGCGGGTACAACAAGTAGAAAACACAGGAGAGCTACACTTTCACTGCTTTCAGACTCAACTCTTTTCTGAAATTTTCCAGAGGGGATGATTGTGAGATTGCAAATTTCCAAGGCAGTCGCTTCTGACATTTTCCTGAGCTTATCCTGCCGGTTCCCTAGTATAATGTCATCTGAGAACACAGCAGAAACTCACAACAAGTAGGTGAGTGTGTTGATGACGTTTCTAACACCCGATGGATGCAAAAAGGAAAAAACAACAAGATTCTAGAGCTTTTGATGATCGTGGACAGTGTTTTGTGCTGGAAACAAAAACTCTTGATTTCCGCAGTTAAAAATACACGTCATGTCCTGCGTCCTGCATGTTCCCCAGGTACCGCCCCTCACTTGAGTGTTCCCGACATCCTCCTACCAACGTGTCTGGACCCATTTCTGGAGTTCATGACTGAAAACTTTATATATATTGTATATGTTTAAATAAACCTCTTCTTCTGAATCAATGCCCAGGAAACATAAGAGTTCCAATCAGAGTTGGCAGAATACCAAATAAAGTGACTTCGTGCATAAATATGTTGATCGAGAAATACCTAAACCTTTACGCATCAGGAAAATGGAAAATGAACCTACTGAATGGATTGTTGGAACATGGGCCAAGAAGGAACCCATTAAGTTTTTGCGCAGATCCGAAAATTCACAATTTTAAATGATTTTTTTGCTTCTGATAACAAATTAGACTAAGTACAACATAAATAATTGGATTATTGCAAATAATCAGATCAAGGTCAAAGTGACATTCCAACTAATACATGGTGTGCAATAATATGTTGTGGTGCTGTTAACATTACTGGTTTGAATTTTGTGTTTACATTGTGAGATGTTTGTCTGGATGCCTTGTCTCTTGCGGACCTGCTCAGTGGTGTCCACCGTCTCGCTCTGACTGTCGACTATGTCAGCAAATGATGACATATTACATATTTTACTTCTGCTTTGTTGACAGGCCATGCATGGTCAACAAGAGTACTTGTGTTAGCAGCAATGCCTCTTGTCTTGTTGTCAACATGTAAGCTAAAAATGGTAGTGAACGCAGAGGGCTGAACACACAAACACACACATGTAACTCATAGGACACACAGCTCTTATTAAAACACCAACATTCTTTCAGACACTAACAACGTGGGGTATTGTACCGTTTTTGACAGCAGGCTATTGCGATACATCTGATATCTATATACAGTGCAACACTGGTTCCAACATGAAGAATCCCTAAATACTAAATACATACTGTCCTCACACACTAGACCTTTCAACGCCAGCCTGAGGGGGAGAGTGTATTCAAAAAAAAACTGCAAACAGAATGTCCTCCTACAGAAACTGTTGAAACAAGTGTCTATATAATTGGACAACCCTACATTAGGATACAGCAAAAGAAATCCTCACCTGGAGTTCCTCTAACAAGGATTTACAAAGACTTATCATGGCCGCCACAGTCAGAAAAGAAAATCCTCAGCTTCAGGTTGAACTGTAATCCTCACAAAAGTTTCAACATAAAGCCTTGAAACCCTCACTGAAGCAACAGCGATGTTACAGAGGAGCACGGTGATCCCTGCAAAGGTTTATTCATCTACCATTTCAAAAATATATATAAATAACAAGATATACTTGTGTGCATGCATTTTGACTAAATAAATGTGACAAACTGTAAACTTCCCTTTACTCCTGAGGGTTTCAGGTGACAGTAAGTTAGAGCACTCAACACAACAGCTCGGTGTAGAAAGCCAAAACCAGAACAGTCTCACAAAGTATAATCAATAATTATCATTCTGGATCATACAGAACTGACAGCGTCTGATAAAGGTCTTTATTTACACAAAATAGATAGAAACACATTGTAAAAGGTGGCGAACCAAGGTCAGACACGTCCAGTTTACAGACAATACCGGGGGTGGTGTGAATGGGAGGGACAACCTGTACAACGGGAACAAAAACCACCAGTATTCTCTATTTTTCTCATCACACCTCCGCTTTTCTACCACAGCTTTTTTTAATTTAGCCTTCAGCACCTGACAAAAACCCATAAACCTTTTGGACATACTGCTGTAGTCCACCGTATGTCAATAATCATCTGGCTCATCTGCGACCCCATTCAGAGCACTGCGTACAAATGTATTTAAACCATTCAATATAATCATCTGCCTTTCTGTTAGAGCTAAGTGGAGAAACAGGAGGGAGCAGAGGGCACTGTCCACCCGACTGAGGGCGATCCAAACAAGCGTCAATTAACAAGAGACAACTATAATCTGTTTAATCAGCCTGAACAGCTGCAGTGGCTGGGTGACATTTGTAAATTCTGGTTTCCTGTCTGGTTTGCTGAAAAAAGATAATGTTATATATGAATACTTAACTTGCAAAACCAGCTGACAGCAGAGGTTGCTTTATGAGCTTTACTCTACTCCCTCATCTCCATGTTGAGGGCATGTGGGGAAAACATACATGACAGTAACAGTGGTGTTTTGTGTGATCCAAAGTGGGGCGCAAGAAAAAAAGTCTTCCTTCACAAAACACTCTTGTGACAGGTTGCAGACACTGTAGCATATGAATCCCAACGTTGGGCTAAAACCAACTGCGAGCTCGCCACAGGATACAAGTCAGGTGTGAAAGCAAACAGGAGGAGGAGGTGGAAGTAACAGGAAGGTGAAATCAAGATGACCGCGAAGATTCTGGAGCACGGTCGTGATTGAAGGCGTGATCCGAGGGGGAAACAGTGGCGCACAGTGTGGGTTTCTTCCTCCTCTGTGCATGAGCAATGCACCCAGACACTCACACATTCCTCAGCGGGATCACACTCATCATACAGTATGTCCTTAACCCCGCTGACACCGACGCATCTCAGGTTTCTCCAAATGAACCTGCTGTGTGAATTCCTGAGAAGCCTGATGTGACAGCGTGCTCCGAGGCACAACCTGCCTGTGAGTCTCCACACTCACTTTGTGCTGATGGGTGTACAATCAGCTCCATGCAGGGGCCCACAATTTAGGGCGTTAAATTAAATTAAATTTAAAAAAAAGCAAAAGGCACAAGATTTGAGCTGAGTCAGAGGAGCGTGCAGTGAGAGGCTCAAATTAGAGCCATACATCCACAGACTCATCACAAGTAATTTCCCCCTCAAGGCGGCAGGCATCACTGCAAAAGGAGAACATTCCCTAAATTGATCCGTCTAGTTAAATAAGATTAGATTAAAGTTAAATTACAGACACTGTGGGTAAGTGCGGATCACGCTGCTGCTCCTGCACAAAGGCACACTCACTTTTCACCCAGTGGGGCACTGTTTAACTTCCACAGCCAGTGGAGTGGAACACAGTTTTCTGTGCATTGGAAGGTAGATGAGATACTATGATGTGTGTCAACAACAGGCCTGCTCCCTCACTCCCTGCTGCACCGCTCTCTCCATATGACACAGGCGGATGTCGCAACAGCAGCCGTTGCTGTGCTGTGACAACAAGTTCTGCAGGTTGGAACGATTCACTTTTTTTTTTTTTTTTTTACACACTCCATGCTTTTTCTTTTTAGACCGAGAACTTGAGGCAGAGAACTAACTGTATTCCTGTGAGTTGTCAAACCTGGAGAATCGTGGAGACCCAGTTAGGGGATGTGTGGTGGGAGAGTAACCTCTTCAGGGTTGCCAGGTAACTTATCAAGTCAGTGGGGAAGTTAGCGAGCAAGTTGAATGATTGACTCATATAAAGTTTATTTTACTTCTCCTTCATCTCTATAAACGTGCTTTTAACACATAGCTTTGAATTGAGTGTTTATACTCTCTTATGTTCCTTGTATCCTTTTCTTTTAAATGATGTTCTGCTTTCTTTGAATTGTATCATATGTTTGATTTGGATTTGTAATATGAAATGTGCTGTACAAATAAAGTTATTATTATTATTATTATGGATGTTTAGGACCAAACTTCGCTCACCTTCTCCTTGTTCTCGTGCTCCGCCGGAGGTGAAGTGGGAGATTTAACGCTCCCGACAGCGACAGCCTGTGTGACGGTGACACCGCCGCCCGGAGCCGGGCTGCTCTTCTCGATTGTTTCCACCTTGATGAGTCGGTGCTTCGGCGACACGTACTTGGTGTCCGGCGACCCCACCGCGTTCAAGCCCGGCCCGAACGAAATGTTTCCGCCGGGAGTGTACGGGTCCTCGAAGTCCAGCTCCTTCTGAAGTTTGTAAGCAGCGAGTATGTCCGGCTGAGCGGGACTCGGGAAGGTGGCGGCGGAGCTCGCCTGCTGGAAGCCAGGCGCACCGGGCACACCGGTGTGACAGTGCCTGTAGTCCGGCTTCGGAGGCGCCGGAGGGGGTGCTTTGGTAGTTTTGAATCCTAGGTGCTCCTTGAACCACTTGGCCATGCTGCCAGTGCATCGCTCACAAGTCAATGAATGTAGTTTACTTCCACCTTTCCTGCCGGCGGAGCCCGAGTCTGTTCGTCCGGGGGGGAAAAAAGTAGGATCCCCGGGTCACCCGCGGCCAGGGCTCCGGGCAAGGTGCGGGAGCGTGTCGCCGGGTTCGTGCGGCTGGAGAGGAGAGGGAGGAAAAGTGCGGCAGCCCGAGAGAAAGAGAAAGAGAGACCACGGGCAACTGTGTTAGTCACTCACACACACACATTTACTCAAACACACCCAGTGACACACACACACCCAGTGACACACACACGCTGCACTGACTGTGGCTGCTCGCTTCTCGTAGGTCTCCACACCACGGACATGGAGGAACACGCCCCCGCACACAACCTGCCCTCCCCACCTGAGAACACTCACCGCCCCCTACCGGCCGTGCGGAACTCCGCTGAGAAAACACCAGTCACCGCAGCAAGAAAAATAAATAAATAAAAAAGAATGATTTGTATTATTATTTTTGGTACTGCTATCATTAACATGATTAATTCTATGAATATCACTCTTACTATGTTCACGATAACAGTCTGACAGCTTAAAGGTACAATGTGTAGAATTTAGTGACATCTAGTGTTCAAATGTCATGTTGCAGCTGAACACCCCTCACCTCACCCTCTCCTTCCAAACATGAAAAAGAACCTGTGGTGAACTTCAGTTGTCATAACAACTCAAAAGGTGTTCAGTTTGTCCAGTCTGGACTACTGCAAAAAAAACATGGCGGCCTCCATAGAGAGGACCCCCTCGAAGTAAATAGAAAGTATTTAAATATAAAGGGTCTTTTCTGGGGTGAAGAAAACTACAATTCATATAATTTAGATGAAACGAACTAGTGAAAACATCATCAGAATTATTCTACATTAAATATCTGCCAATAGATCACTTTCACCTAAATCTTACACACTGGACCTTTAAAGGATTTAGGAAGACCCATCAGCAGAAACTGGATATAATGAAATTGATGTATTATCTGTTATCATATATTATGATGATGTGTTCATCAGTGTATGATAAAACCTGAGAGTGAGTCGTCAGGAGCAGGCCCACTTCCACTGAGTCCGCCATGTTCTATTTTGTGACAGTAGCCCAGCATGGACAAATGAACCCCTCGCTCTACGGTGAGTCATTCACTTTTGTGTTTGTATCTTACCTGAGGGCCACCACAAAGTGTCCAAAACATTTGGAAGAGGAGGGTGAGGAGGAGGGGTTTCATTTGGCTGAAATATGCAACCTCACTGCTACAGGACCTGTAGTTACGCAACTGTTCCTGGTCTCTCTCTTTCTTCTCTCCCCTCTTTTCCATCCATCTCTCCTCTCTCCCCTGTTTTTCTCCACTCACCCCAACCGGTCAAGGCAGCTGTCCACCCATAATGAGTCTGGTTCTAGAGGAATCTTCCAGTTAAAAAGGAGTTTTTTTTCCAGTCAACTAAGTGCTTGCTGGCTTTGGGAACTGTAGAGTTTCTCTAAATTACCCACTGTTGGTCCCTCCATTGTAATAGATTAGAGTAATTAAAATATTCATGCATGAATCATTACCCATTTAGACTGGTCCGTTTGATTTATGTTGCATCTAAAATACCTGTATATGCATTGATTAAAAGAATAAAAACTTGTAAAATAAAATTCTTCTTCCCATACCTACATTAAACTACATCACTTCCAAAAATGTAAACTATGAAAGCAGAGCTCGGTGCTTAAAACAACTTCAGGTCAATGTCTTCCCAGCCAATAACACTCAAGGGTAAAACGTCCTCTGCTCATTGTCCTCATGTCCAGATGGCCACTGCTGACCATTTTAATTGCAAATTGCATTGCAAATGACCAGTGGAGAGGGAGGCTGGAGTCTGCATTAACAGTGGACACTGTTGCAGCTCGGTTCATTATACAAATCCACAAGCAGGTTATAGAGGATGTGAATTGTTCAAAGCAACAATACAAGCAAAACATCTCTACTTAAGTTGTTTTTCAATCCAGAGGGTCACGGCTTCACATTCTAAATACTAATTGTATTTGCAATCAGAGGACAGACGAGAAAAAAAAACCCATTTCCCCCTCCTTCCCTTCCTGGAGACATATTCCAGCAGCAGTCTGCATTAACAGGAGTCATGGCTGCAGAGCAGTGGGTTTTTATGAAGCAATATTTCTCTTTAATAACACCACACACACACAGCCTTGAGCGAGTCACAGTGAACAGATCAGAGTTTAACCCTGACAGGCTCCCGGGAGAGAAAACAACATGCTCAGGAGATCAGAACAGAATCTGCCCTGAAATTCTGCCGTCATTGCACTTTGGGCATTCACAGAGAAATTTGACCAGTGCAATTTCGTTGCACTTTAAAGGAATGATTTCACCCCACACAGCCATCAGGCTAATCTGTTTAACTTGTGTATCATACATTAAAGCTTTAAAACAAAAGATGAGGGGAAATGGGTTTAGATGGCCCTTAGTTTATTGTGGCACTAGTCCTTTGTTTTGTAGCCAGTTCTGGGGAACAAAACAATCTCTCAGACACAAAAGAGAAAAGTGCGATCCAGCTCTCACGTGCTGTTTTTCAGGGCTGCACTTCTCTGTCACTGCTGCATTAATCTGAGATATAAATATTGCTGGAGCTGCAGGGTAATAGCCTGTCTCTCGCTGTAGGTATTAGAGGATCTGCGGCAGGAGCAGGTGTGTTATTTAGGTTACAGAGTCTGACTCACATCACAGATCTTTTATTGCATTGCCACAATTGCATTTGCCAATTTCCTCCAGCTGCCATTACTGACACCCTTTAAAATGCAAATCCCGTAATCCACTACCTCGTAGGATACAAATAGTCCTCTTAAGTATCCTACGCAGGCACACTTCTTGCCAGAGAGGATTAATGTATAAATGTATAGGACTCGGAGACTATCACCAGACGAAGAAGAAAAAGACATTTTGCAGTAACAAGTGGAATGTTGTGTTTTTCCAGAGCTTGCCTCGAGTGAGGATTGTCATTTACATCAGCAGTGTGCAATGAATACGCAAAGTTGCAGACTTTTTCAGTTTTTTCTTTTTTGTCAGTATATGATGGTGATGTCATTTACATGCATGCACCCCGATCTCTTTAGAAAGTGTTGGATGTTGTAATTTATATCACGCTACCTTTAGAACTGGTGCAACTGCTCATACACATGGTCATCAGTGTGTCTAAGAAGGAAACAGTTAACTACCTCTTCCTGTCCGTTTGTTTAATGTTTGGTTTGTATGTTTGTTTGCTTGTTTGTTTGGAAGGATGTGTGAGTAAGAGAAGAACCCATACAATTTTGGTGCAGATCCAAATCAGGGGGTGGATTCAGGATTTTTTTTTTTTCATTTTCTTTAACATTGTGAGATTGGGTGTTTTTTCCACATTTTCATTGATTTCTTGGAGTATAATTTACGGATCTTGATGAAAAAAATCAGGGACATTTAAGAAACTGCCTAGGTTCAGGGTGTGCAATTTAGTGCAGCATGATTTACTGCTGGGCCTTAGTGGAGGTATGTGCTCAACTGAGTGCCATTCTAGTTTTTATTGCAAAAGCTTTATGAGGCCAATTACCACAATAGTGATAATCTAGTTTTATAATCTAATAATCCAGTCTGATGAAATTTAGTCCCAATAGCTACAAAACATGATCATCAGAGATCTGGTAGAGACGGCTTTGTATCGTAATGAGACCTTCCTGGTTAAATAAATAAATAATAATGAATTAACTGTTACCTGCTGTCCCTATAGGTTGCATGGCAAACTTTCTTTCCATGCACAGTATGTGTCAGTGAGTGGGACTGGTATGTAAAGGGATTTAATTTTGAAAGCATGAAGGCATGTACAGAGCTCAGCTAAGATGACAGCTCCGGTCTGCTGTAGGTGATTGTTAATACCTTCATATTTTGCTGCACAGCTCAAGTGTTTGACGTGCTATGTGAAACATGTCACATGTTTATTTTCGTGGCTTCAGGGTTTTCCAGGGCTCTGCTGGAAGTTATTCCACAGAGGGACCAGGTGGTATCACGAGGAGGAGTGAGGAAATTGGGGAAATTATTTATCAGAATAGATATGTAGATAAGAAATGACATATTTCAGGGCAAATCAGTGCTTCCTAACCGATGTATTATCTGGTTTCCTTTCTGCAGTGTTCTACTGATATAAGTATTTAACACTCTCACTTGCTGCATTTTACATTATTACTATATTTTTCACACCACAATTCAGATACTTAGTGTTGTAGTATGCTTTCAACTCAGTTATGCCTTGTTTTCTTGCCTCAGTGGGAAATTGTGCATGTGTCACATTTAGCATTTACAATAGAATGACTCAGAGACACCGGTAAAAGTTCAAATCAGTTCACCGTTCGGAAAAGCCGGGGTTATGTCAGGTCAGGAGGGTGTGGCAGGGCCTCAAACGTCACAAGAGTGGGAAAGACAGACAGAGCGTGAATGAACTCAGGAATGAACTGTGACACAGGACGCTTCTGACTGTTAGAATAATACAGTATTCATGTGCTGTTTTGTTGCATAACTACTGCACCAGGCTGAAGGAAAAGTGTCACCAAGTTCAGCTTGTCGACTACAGTGGCTGTAACTGTGTTGAATTATGCAGCAGAAAGAGATTTACTGTACGTGACGAAATGCAGAGCAAACAACCAAAGCACGTTGTACAAATGGATATTTTAGTTTATTTTGTCTGATGTCTTTTCACAGAGTAACAGAGGAAAGCCCTGTATGATAACACACTAATGTACTGTAGAGAAATGATATTAATATTAGAAAATACATTTGGCTGCACTGACACATGCTGAAAAAAAAACATTTAAATGAATCTTTGGGGATCTATGATCTTGCCAAAATGTCAACAGAACCACATCACTGGTGTTAAGATACATTTTGCTTTCACATATACAATAATCAGGAAAATGTTTAGCCAATAATTAATGAATCCATTATCTATGGCACTTATCCTTTGAGGGTCGCAGGGGGCTGGAGCCAATCTCTGCAGACACTGGACGAGATGCAGGGGACACACTGGACAGGTCGTCAACGTCTCACCAGGCCAACACACAGAGACAAAGAACCATTCACACTCACATTAACACCAATGATCCATTTTATAGTCTCCAATGAATGTGGGAGGAAGCCGGAATAATGGGAGGAAACCCATCAAGACATGGGAGAACATGCAATAGGTTTCAATCCTTTTTAGTTGTAATAGAATGACAAACAATATGTTTTGGAAAGTCAGTCACTTTGTCTGCTTTAGTTTTTCTGGTTTTCTCTCCTTTTGTTCATGCTCACAGTATTCCCATGTGGACACACATACACACACACACACACACACACACACACTCAACTTCCTCACCACTATGGGTTATTCTAATGAATTCTTATTTTAACCCGATGTGGCTCCTG